GCCTGAATATGGCAGAATGTGCAACGGCAGCTCGCGACCGTGAAGGATGGAGGGTCATCAAACGTCAACCTCTGAGTCAGAGATGACACCTCCAGGTATTAATTACTGAAACGCCGAGGTATATGTACGTCCAGGTTGAATTGTTCATAGGAGCAAGACGATGCCTGAAACACAAGACCGGTACTCTCTTATTAACGTCTTTTATTATGCTTCTTTGAATGACTTTCTTTCTTCAGGCAATTCACACTTATACCCATCAGCATTAGCTTTGATTTGCAATCCCAAGTTGTGAGTTCGATCAAGGTGTACGAAAGACGACGAATCGCGTATCTCCATAATAAACTTAACATCTCTGCGGGATGTAACAACCGTATCCTATGGTTCCTGGGTTGGCCACGGTATGCGTAGTCAAAGAAGTCCACTTTCTAAGTGATCGGAAATGTTCCAAGTATAACCGGCGTTCACTTTTGATTAAAACAGACAGTTAGCTAATTCTCCAAAAGTGTACTATTGTTTCGTTTGTTTGCAAGAGTTTTATGGCGCTCTTGACTGCATGTAGTTATATGAGCGCGAGGAATTTTTGAACGTAGGTTATTTAGGAAGTTTTCAAGGGCCTTCCCCTCTTTGGCTAGCTCCTGTATGAAGAAGATGGACTTTATACTCGAGATTTGCCTAAAGTATTAGCTCACTCATCTTAATGTGGTGTTGAACCAAATCAAAAGTAAAGCACAGATCTAATCAAATTATAACTTCCCTGTTGTCTAGTTAAAATTGCCTAACATAAAACTCAACTCGTCTCTGACAGGTTTGTAAACTTAACATACATGTCTCTTTATCTTTATCTTCACATCAGAAATATCAAGAATAACAGGGAACAGTGCAACCTGTTTCACAGTAAAAAATGGTAAGTGTTTGTAGTTAAACGATCGCAGACGGTTTCTCTAAAATGACAGTGAAAGCAGGTTGTTGTAGGACGATACTGAGAGGTACTACTTCTTTATATTACCTCTGTTGTTTGTGTCTGTCTGTCTTTCTTTTTCCCAGCACTAAATTACCATTTTTTTGCTCAAACAAAACAAACATGACAATGAAAAAGTCATCATTTAAATTAAATAAGCATTCTAAATGACCTTATCACTTTTAGCTGTCTTTCAATGCATATGATATTACGAACAGAAACTTGTTTGATAAACATACTTTGCAATTATTATAGTCGAAATTGTCCATGGCGGGCCACCCATTGTTGAGGAGAAAAGTTGTTGTCTTAGATAGATGAACGTCTTAGATAGTGTCGTTACTATTTTCTTTTAGAGCGCAAAGGGGGGAGAAAATGGCCATTTGTGCAGATGATTGTCTTTGACAGGTGGCCGTTAGAGAAGATTGGACAGTATATTTTATTAAACCAATTTAGGGATCTTTGCGTTCTGTAACTAAAGTCTTTTTGCCTTGCTCTCTATTTTCACTATGACTAAAGAAGGTATTCTACGGACAGAAACATACAATATATCGTTGGCCTCCATCCCACTAGAGGCTCGTTGTATGACTGATTTGCTTTTACACAATGTCAAAAGAGGGGTAAATTAAGAGACAAAAACGGCGACCACAATTTACACATTGACCACATACGTTCTGCAGTCATATTAAAAAGTATTATTTTTGTATGGTCTTCAAATTACTGAAGAAGAAAGGGTTATTCGTCGGAGTCTTAGTTAATTTCGACACGCTGATTCTGAATTTGATAGTATTACGATAGGACACAGATTTCGGGAAATTTGTAAACGAGAAATCAATCGCCACCGGCAGATGATCCAGCCATTTTAAAAAATTCAAATTGTGCCTCATTTTTGCGGAGTAGTAACTTAGGATAGACGGAGGACAGAATGACGACTTCAACAAATGTTATTATTACATAATGTGGTTAAGATTGACTGAAGACCGACTGGAAACCAAAAGTGGTCAGTTTTAACTGTACATGCAATGTCTCATAAAAGAACGCAGTAGTTCAGCGTTTTGTTCCTTTCAAAGCATGAGACCGACGAAAAAATGTTGTTCCTCCTGGTTTCTGACTATCAGTATCTAGTCGTCTTGCACCTTCATTCGGTACATTTTATCTGTTCTGTTAGAGTGTGTGTATGTTTGTCTCTGTGTGTGTGTGTGTGTGTGTGTGTGTGTGTGTGTGTGTG